TAAGGACAGAAAGCACCATCTTCAGAAGTGTTCTGGGAGAGAGTAACAAGCAGACTCTGAAGCTGTAGTAGTTATTCAGTTTTCCTGAACACACTGGCAAGTTCTGCCCGATGCTGGGCTTTTCTTTGCTGGGCCATTCAGAGTTAAGTTTATTTTTGCCATTATTTCTTCATGGAGATTATCTCAAAGGTTCTTTTCATTTGACTCACAGTTTTCCACATATGGGTTTTTAAGCCTAGATCATTTCAGTTGTTCCTTTCAGGTGGTTTCAGCTGACTAGAACCAGAGCTGCCCATTTTTTAGAAGAGTGCTGCAAAGTTAAGTTTCTTCCTAACTATACAGAGCTGAGATGAACATGCAAATGTGGTTTGCAGATTTGACCTTTAATATTCTTTATTTTATTAGTACATGTTGCAATACGTAATGAATCAAACATTCACTGTGGGGAGTCGGTACATACACATACTTCATCTTAGTCCTGTTACTCTCTTTCTTTGGAATTGAATCCAGCAGATCCTAGTGTCTTCTGTCCCCCTAGTCTTGCATCAGTGACCTGGAAAGCAGAAGGATGGGGTTGCTGGCATTGGAGATGTAGACATGCTCACTCAAGGGTGTGTTGTGAAGTTAATCAGCAGCGATGCCTCTGTGTTCACAGCCATTCATTTGGAGGGTGAGGGGTGTATGCCTGGCCACTGTGTGATGCTGATCTTCTGTCCAGCTGGAGCAGGGGTGGACCTAAATTTAGGAGCGTGAACCTAGCTATCAGCTGGGGGGTGTTAAGTGTTGTATCTAAATGTCTTCCCCACAGCCTCATGGGGTCATAGCTGGGGAATTTTGAAGGTGGCTGGGTTAGGGTGTGTGAATGTGGATTAAGGATGTGATGCTGGGATTAAGGGTGTGGATAATGGAAGGCCCACTCTGGGTATTGGCACCAATCAACAGGCTTGTAGCCTGGATGGAATATAAAGGGACAGAAAGAAGGCAGGCTGCGGCTGCTGGTTGCTGCTTTGCTTTCTCCTGCCTGCTTGCCGTGGACTGTTTCTCCTCTGTGATGCCTCTCTGCCAGGCCACCCTGCCTTGGAGCCAGGTGACTATGGACTGAAACTTCTACAAACTATGAGCTAAATAAGCCTTTCCTCCTTTAACTTTGGTTGTCTGGTATTTTGTCTCAGCAAATAAGAAAAGTAATTAAGACAGGAGGTTCACATGTCTAGCTTTACCTGACTTGAGTCACACCTTTTTTCTAACGTGCCCTTGTTCAGCCTAGGGAAGCTGATGTAGGATAGGTCAGTCGCAGTTCCGCATTCTACTGCCGTTTAGTAAAGACTTTGGTTCACCTCACATTTGTGCTGTTGGGCGTACCTTTCAAAGGCCAGGAAAATTGTACTCATGCTGAAGTATCTTTTAACATTGCTGCTTCCATCTTTATTGGTCCTCTGCTTTGTTTCAGTCACCTCAAATTGTCCACATTGCTTTCTGAACTCAACAACCACTTTCTAGCCCAACAGTAAGTGACCTGCCATCCTAGGACTTTTAAGAATCATTGTCTTTGAGCACATCACTGTTAGCACCGTCCTAGGTATGTGTGATGAGGATAAACTCATTAGTTGCATAAAGTGAAAAGCAATTGTGTAGGGAATTGTAACCAGTAACATTTAGTAACACTAAAGTTGCACCATGAAATTGGGGCATTATAAACTTGATTGACAACACCCAATTTTTGCATGCTATTTTGTTTAGTTCCCCTTAACTTCAATTGGATATAAATTTTAAAAATTAATTGGCTGCATTTGATTTTAAATAAAGCTTTAGCTTTCTGAAAGGTGAACTTGTAAGTGAACTAATGACATGGTTGAGGATGGAGGACCTTGCAATTGGGCAACTGTCTTCATTGAGTACCAATGAATTATAAGCAATTATCCTTCCACCTGGCCGGTACAGATGTTTGTTTACATTTTTTAATATCACAATAGTTGAAAATTTCTTTAAACAGGGTTCAAACAGTCATAGGAAAAAATGAGTCTGTACTTAACCAGTACAGAAATTTTGATTGATGGTCATGTTCTGATTTTAATGCAATTGAATAGATGATAGTCATGGGAAAATGATCTTACTTTGGTTGTAGAACATACTGATTTCCATAGAGAAGGATTTAGAAGTACTACAGCTTCATCTACAAGATATGCTTGATTCTTCAGGACTATTCCTGGACTATGTGGTTCCAGAAAGATTCTTCTTCTGAGAGCTGCAAATGGTGGAGTGGAAGCAAATCTTCAGTAACAATGCCTCTTCCCAAGACCACCGATGAAATTCTGAACAATTTACTTCATACTATGGTTGAACATGTCTCAGAGTAAATGAAAGGGAAGTACACTGTTGTAACAGTTTGCCTTTGCTGCCTTGGAGATTTATGCAGTTATCAAAGTTGCTGCAGACCTATTGTCACCACATGTGGTGGCATACACTTGTAATCCCAGCTACTCTAGAAGCTCAGGCAGGAAGGTTGCAAGTTCAAGGCCAACCTGGTTAGGGAGACCTTATCTCAAAATAAAAATAAATAAATGAAAGGGCTTAGGATGTAATTCACTGGTAAAGCACTTGCCTAACATATGAGAGGTTCTGGGTTCAATCTGTAGTACTACAAAACACAAAACACAAAACAAAAACCCATTGTCTTTAACACAGTTCCATAGACTGCCTAAGAATATAAATTATAGCTGTAGGAAATTAAAGATAGGATGCATTACTAGAAATCAAAAAGCCAAAGATCATTGATAATTTTTATAGTATGCTTTGTAAGAAAACACATTTATATGTCTTTATGTTGGAAAACTTTGAGATGTTTACAGTAATCTAGCAAATAATATTAATTTTTTCCTGCACTGTTAAAATGTTTATATAAATATTTCTGACTATATTGTTCATTAAGAAATATTGAGATACCTTCAATCTACAACTCATTATTATTATTAATATTATTATTGTTAAAAATATTATTGTTAGGTTTTTTGAGACAGAGTCTCTCTTTGTCAATATGTGTGAGGATGTCAATATGTGTGGGTGTTGGATTGTGCGTCTATTGGTAGGATCATGCGACTTTTCTTCTTTAACCTGTTGATGTGATGGACTGCATGAATTGATTTTAAAAATGTTGAATCAGCCTCACATACCAGGGATAAACCTCATTTAGCCTCAGTGTATAATTCTACTTGTGTATTACAGGATTTGACTTACTAATATTTTATTGGGGACTTTTGCATCTGCACTCATGAGTGGTTTTCTTCAGTTTTAAGATGAGAAAGTTTACATCAGACCAGCTCTGTTGTTCCTTCTAGTGATTGTCCTTTTTGTGAGTCTAGGAATGGATCATCATTTCAATTTTAAATACCTCACTGTGGTAGATACCGAGTAAATATTTGCTAAGTCGAATGGAATCTGCCGACTATCTCTGGAATGTAGATGGTAAATGACATTGAATTTCAATGACATAGAAAACAACAGATGATGATGATTTTTAAAACCAGGGAAAAAAGACAAAGTGGTGCATGCCTGTAATCTTAGCTATGTGGGAAGTTGAGGCAAGAGGATCGCAAATTCAAGGCCAGCCAGAGACGGGATGTTAGGGGTTAGCTAGGCTGCTATGAAAAAAGACCATGAGCCAGGTGGTGTAAATATCAGAAGTTTATTGTTACAATTCTGGAGGCCAAATCAAAGTGTCAACAGGGTCGGTTCCCTCTGGGAACTCAGAAAATCTGTGCCGCGCCTCTGTCCCAGGTCCTACTGTTTTGCTGGTGATCTTCTATTACCTCGGCTTCCACTGCATCACCCCAATTTGTCTCCCTCTCCACAGGACATTCTCCACATGTGTATCTGGGTCCAAACTCCCCCCTTTTTAGGAGGTCACAAATCCTATTAGATTAGGGGTCCAGAGTATACCAGTATTACTTCATCTTAATTGATTATATCTGCAGCAATTCTGTTTCCAAATCAGGTCAAATTCTAAGGCTCTGGGGGTTATTAAGACTTCAACATGCATTTTTGAATGACCTAATCAGTTCGTAGTAGCCTGATTCTCCTGTCCTTGAAGTATAACTCCCTATCTACCCTTCCATCTTCTTTTCCAATAAACTTTATTGTGCAATACAAGTGAAGAGATAACAATTTTATGTGAAATTTTCTTTACAGAGGAAACTGAAAAAGTTTTATGTAAGTGGCCTGTAGCTAATTCTCAACAGTTAGCCTTTTAATTTGCCGATTACTCATTCCCAGAACTGGTTAAACATTTAATATTTTTATTATTCTATTTTCCCCTCTTTTTCTATTTTCTGTCTTTCCTCTTGCCCAAGTATACTTAACTTGTCTCCTTTATTGAACATTTCCCATGTTATAAGCCGATACTTCTACCACCAGATGGTGTCCAAGGATTGGGAAAAGAATTGAAACACATCATCTAGCATGGTTGCCTTTCTTTCTACATTTTATTTCACAACAGAGATTGGTAACAGCAGGCCAAAAACGAGATTGAGGTTTTGTAGATTTTCATTATTCATATACATTTTCTTTCTTTTTTCTTTTTATAGGGAAAGGGAAATTAGACTATCAATCCAGCCAGAAATCTAGGCTAGTGACGGTAAAGGGTAAAAACCTTACAAAATTTAGTGAATAAACATTTACGGGGAGAACTTGATCTCAAAATAGATTTGACACTAGGCTGAGATGTGGAGACAAGGTTCTTGGGTCAGAGGATCTTTTCCTCTAATAGATAGCTTTGAATACACAAAAAAGAAATGTTTTGATCCCAATGAAGCTATAGAATATTAGTACAGTCACTCTTCAGCCTTCTAGTTTAGCAGGCTCAAATGTAGCCTGCAGCCAAAAACAGATCGAAAGGGCCAAGTTCACTCTCTGAGTGCTTTGTTTGGTTTGAGCAATGTGTTTTTTGTTGTTATAATTAATTGCTAACAATAAAGCATTCTCAACATTTCATATAATCATCCAGATTTCAGGCTTCTTTAGGCCCTGGCAATGGAGACTGAGATTTTTTCTCAGCAACACTAACTATAGCTGAGTTAGGGTTGCTGTTTTCATTGGAATTGGGGATTTATAGTTGGCTGCTGGCTCTTCTACCCCCTGTTTTATTACACTGAACCTTTACTCACATTTAATATGTTACCTGCCTCTGCCAAGCCCAGGAAAAGTACCCGAACGTGTGACCCTGCTCTTGTATTTCCTAGATGATGGCAGGAGGTCTGGGGAAGTGGTTGGCAATTTACTCAGTGGCTCTCTTGCCTTCCAGCTCCTGTGAACCTGTGCTGCTTCTTCTGTGAATAGAAATGGGTGGGAAAGAGCAAGTTACTCGGCATAAAGGAGTAGTAAGGAAGGTAAAAAACTAAAAGTGAAAAAATTGGCTACCATTGATTATTAAAAAGATACTGGAGGAGAATGCATAGGAGTGAAACAATGGGAAATCCTAAAGTGCCATCTTACAGGGAACTTGGGAAGCATGGATAAATACCTGGTCAGCAGGCAAAAGAAAGAGAGGAACCCTGGATGACTGATTCATGTGCAAGCTTGGGCTGTTGTGGAGTAAATGCATTGCTTAAGCACTGGAAAGGTTACTAATGAGAATCCACCATTGCGGGGACAGGACAGCAAGTCCTGAAGCTAGAAATTGGATGGTTTATTATTACCAACAGAATCAGCAGAATGTCCTTCTAGGTACCTATAAAATAGCTGCCAGGGACTCTTTCCATCAGAACACGGAAACTTATTAGTGCAAAAAGAGGTCATAGAGTGATTCCAGAGGGAGAAGTTGAGAATGATTTTGTTTTCCTCAAAACTCCTGGGTGATTTATTAGTGATAGGAAGCATTTGTTGAGTGATTGCTCTGAGCCTGACTGTGTACTTAGAGGTTGACGTGTATAATGTCCTTGCATCCTTCAAAGATCATTGAGATTATTACTATTGTCATCATGATTGTATAGATAAGGAGACCCAGGACCAGAAAGATCAGGTGAATTTTCCATATCCACTTGGCTCATAAATGACAGGCTCATCAGTGACAGAGTTAGGATTTAAATGTAAGTTCTCAAGATACCTGTTACCAACCTTCCCATGTAACCAAGCTATTCTCCTGCCTTCTACTCCTGGCTAAGGACGTGGCTTGGCTTTTAAAAAAACTCTCTGCGTGCCCTGAGCCAAGTCTGGTTTGGCCTATTGATAAATGCATAGCCTGCCTTGGACCAAACCAGAAAAAGCAGGTGAGTTATACTATTTTGGATAGATGGCATATAATGAGTCTGAAAGAACTAGCTGAGTATGGCAGCACATGTCTGTAATTCCAGCATTCTGGGAGGATCTGGTAGTAGAATTGCAAGTTTGACTCCAGCCTGGGTGACTTACCAAGGCCGTGTAGCAAAGTAAAAAAATCTGAAAAAGGCCTGGGGATGCAGTTCAGTGCAAAGGCTCTGGGTTCAATCCCTAGTAATGCAAACAAACAAATAAATCCTAAATTCTCACTTTGTGGCAGGTAACAAGTTTGTTTCAATGGGCCACTAAGTTAGAGGCCCGGCAGGTTGTCATCCGAAGGATGTGTGTAAGTGACAACTGGGAAACTTCATCTGCCAAATGTTCCTTCTACCTGGAACGTGCTGGTAAATGTCTGATGAGGTTGCTGACTGAAGGATGGGTCATTAACTTTTTAACGGAGACAGTGTGGCCAGGTCTCTGAGGAAGAAGGAACTGTACAGGACTGGAGCCTTTTGAGAAGTCTCTGTAGCACACTGGTGAGGAAACAGTCAATGTCCCCTCTTCTGTTTTTAGGAAGCCCCTGGTGAGGGTCCAGAGCAGAGGGAGATGCTTGAGACGGGGCAGCCCAGGAAGGATTTCTTTGTGGCCTTGAGACTGAGTGCAGAGGAAGGAAATCAGGATCACTGTTAAGGGCACATGCTGACCTGCACATGGAAACCACGCAGCCCTGGAGAAATGAGTGCCAGACTAGTCCTCTGTAATATTTTTATGATGGATTATATTTTGTAATTGATCTAGCAGAAAGAAGAGAGCAGACAGATCTCTTAATGTGTACATCTTATTCAACCTTTCCAGCCAGAGAACTGTTAAACTAATCAGGAAGATCTGGCAAATACAGACAGGTGTGGGTTGAGTGTATTGCATCTGGAGAAGAGTAATCCTAGCAGTAGATTGATGGTGCCCAATATTTTTAGGAAGGCTATCTTGAGAAAACTATAATGTTCTTAACTCTTATAGAAAACCCAAGGCAATTTTCTACCCTGAGTATTTATACAGGACTAGTTACCGTTTCCCAAAATTCAACAGTTCCACCAATATTCCATTCTCTGTTATGAGCAAGGAAAGGAGTTAAGCATTTTGGGATTTTTGAGGAAGAAATATGCAGAATAACAAGGGAATTAGACCTATAATAGGAAAAAAAGCTTAAGAAGCTAGGCTTCTTTAATCCAAAGGTGGAGGCTGAGGGGGATATATAGTGACGGTTAAAACATGGACAGTACGCTCAGTCAGAATCAGCAAAAACTTCTATCAATCTTCTCTCCTTACAAACTGTATTAGGTGGGAATGGGGAGCTGTTGGCCAAAGGATAGAAAATCCTGGGTAGGGTGAATAGGATTTGGACTATAGTGCAGCATGGTCAGTATAGTTAATGGTAATGTAGTGTGTACTGGAAAGTTGCTAACAAAGTGGATCCTAATTGGTCTCACCACACACTCACAATAATTAGGGTGATGGCTATGTTAGCTTGATTGTGGTAATCATTTCACTTAGTGCACATATATCAAAACATCCCATTTTGTACTGTGTATATATATATGTATATATATAATTTTATTTGGCATTGACACCTCAATAGCAGGAAAAATTGTTAGGAATATTAGAATACAGGTCAAATGTTATATGCCCCAAGTAAATGAAGATATATAACATGAAAATGCATTATTCTATCTGGAAGCTAGTAATAGTTGAAAAAGAAAACCATATTAGCTAAAACTCAAATGATAGCTCATAATGAGTAGGTTAGAACAATTGATGTATTTAAGGATTTTTGTCAAACTTTGCATTTAACACGGGGAGGGAGAGGATAACAATTCCATCATTTTTTCCCCTTTAAATTCTTTTATTTGTACATTTTAGGTAAACAGTACATTTACATTTATCATTGGGTGCTTGTACCTATAGACGATGTATCTTGGTTCTTATTTTTTTCCCCATTACCTGTGCGCCCTTCACCCCCTCCACCCTTCCCTATTTACATAGACTTTGTTTCCAATTTTTTCTTTTCTCATAATTTTTCCTTTCCCT